GCTCGGAGGAAACCGATTAGGGATGAAGGCAGCTTGCGGAGGGCGGGGGGCCTTGCAGTCATCTCCATTGTCTGCTCTGGACGGCGCTGCCTCCTCTTATCTGCCTGTCTCATTACGCACTCTCTCTCTCTCCTGCCTTTGTCTCTCTCTCTTCTTTGTCTTCCTCTGTTGCTATTTCGGTCCTTCCTCGATGATGCTGGCGGCGAGGGGTGAGCCTCTTTTCATGTCAGGATGCAGAACCCCGCCAAACTGGTAAACAGCTGAAGGATGTGGTGGGAGATGAACTTTCCACTGAGGCTGCTTTGAACTCATCCCTTCCTTGATGGGTCTCCCCAGCTCCTCCCTGCTTTGGAGACTCCATCACATCTTCATGAAGTGATGGACAAGGGCTTGGGACCACGACCAAGAGGCATCTGTGCTGACTGGCCGAACAGGGCTCCAGTCCCCTCTGCCCATCTCCAGACCCTCCGAGAGGGTCTCAGGGAGGGCGGAGTGGAAACCACAGATGGGTCGATAGGGAGGGAAGGGGAGCTGGGTGGTGGTTTGGCAGATGTGCCTCCAAGGTGAGGCTTCCAGTGGAAAAGGTCAGGAACCAGCAAGCAATGCCCTGGCCAGGGCTGGGACGCCTGAGCCTGTGGTCCTGGGAGTGGTCTCAGAGCCTTGAAACCACATCAATGTGGCCCAGAGAGCAGGCAGAAGCTGGGAATCCTGGTGGATAAACCAGCCCAAGCACCCTTCTGGCCTCATCCCTGGGCTGACCCAGATCAGGAAGACGTAAATGAACCTTGGGGAAGAATGATAAGACGCTCGCCTAGACATTCTTGTAAGCACAGAAATGAGCCACTAAAGTGTGGACCTGACCACTTCAGGAGGCCACGTGGAGCCTGGCCACACCATGATGAGCTGGCAGCCATGGGGAAAACTCAGAAGCATCCCGAGCATCCGTTTTCTCATCCCTAAGATGGCGATGACACTAATATCCCACAGAGCTTCTGTGAGGACGAATGACTCAGTACCTGTAATACACCCTGAATGGTGCCTGACTCAGAGCAAGTACTCAGGGATGGAAGCTATTATTAATGTCACTGTCCTATTCCATCATGGCTGGAGGCTGCTGTATTTATTTTGACTGCTCTCCAAATCGTAGAATCCTTCCCCATCCCTGAGTCCCAGCTACCAGAGCTCCATGGCCACCTCTCAAACCCACCCCACATTGCAGCAGTCATCTTTCTAGAGCATCCATCTCATTAGATCAGTTTCCTGCCTTAGAAACTACTCAGGATCCCCCAGGGCCTCTAGAACAATGACCAAACTCCTGGGCAAGTGTCACAGACCCTCTGAGATGCTTTGCAGTAGCCTTTCCCACCTATGCATTCCCTGCCCTCCAGGCTTCAGCCAGCAGGCACCACACATTGTCAATCTCTTCTCTGTCCAGCAAACTCCTATACATCCTTCAATACCCTACTCATTTGTTCCCTTTTTGTCATACTATCCCCAATAAACTCTGGTTGTTCTGGTGGCTGCTTTTCCTCTGTTCACGTGGCCCTTGGTAGCAAAGTGCTGGAGTCCTGAATGAGGCAGAGGTTGTATGCTTGGGTAGCACATGGGATGCAACTTGATTATGGTCAATGTTACTTTTGAAAAATCCCTTGAAAAGTTAAAGAAGCAAAGTGCTTAGAAGTGTGTATAGAACACCCTTTTTTTATAAGGATGTGGGGCGGTGTGGGAAGCAAGAGGTATTCCTATTTGCTGGTGTTTGAACCAGAGAAATAATAGTGTTTACTTGGAGCCTGGGTGGGGGAGAGGGTAGGAGGCGGGTAACAAGATTTTACTGATATGCATTTTTATGTTGTTTGGAATTTTGAACCACATGAATATATTTACTATTTAAAAGAAGGAGGGGAAAATGAAAGGAAGGAAGGAAGAAGGGGGGAAAGAAGGAAGAAGGAAGGGAGGGAGGGAGGAAAGAAGGAAGCGGAAAGAAAATACAAGCTCCCACAGGAAGGTCCCTGCATTTCAGTCTTCCACTGCTGCCTCCAACCTAGATGGAGGCAGGTTGGATCAACAGAGAAGCTTCGGGCTTTCATTTCAGGCCCATCACGTATGAAAAATGTGAATCATTAGCAACCGAAATCCCATCCCGTGTGGCAAGATGCCACCCTCAGGGAATGATTTCAGGGTCTGAGGCAACAGAGTCCCGGCTCCCACTTCTCTCCTTCCTCCTGGGTGCTTGTTCACTGAGGGATATACTGGGTTCGTTGTTCTTTTTCTTTCTCTTTTGCTGCTGAGTAGAGACATTTAAGTTCCTGTGGTTTTAAATATGCCCATGATGCGCCCCCACTGTGCAGTGCGGTGGTTTCACCTTGGGGCTTTGGAGTCAGGTAGAAAGTCGTACTACTTGCCAAACTGTGTGACCTCTGGCTAATCACTTAACCTCTCTGGTCTGGGCCCCAGTTTCTTTATGAATTAGAAAGGATACTAACTTCTCTGAGAACTCTTATGAGGATTATAAGAAATAATACATGCTTGGCACATAGTAAGTGCCACTCACTGTCATCTTTATCACCATCATCGTCATCACCGCCACACCCATGGGATATACTGCAGTTACTGATCCCTGTGTCTGTCTCCCTCAGGGAAGACCTGGGTTTCATTCCTCTCTGTGCCCCAAGGCCAGCATAGAGTCTGTTGCCTATGGTGCCCAGACTGTTAGTTATCCCATCCCTGAGTTTAGCATCCGAGCACCCAGCAGGTACCTGTGCTGCTGGTGGACAGGCAGGCTGGTGTCTCCAGATCTCAGAGCTCAGCTGGTGCTCTGTAACCAGCAGTGTGGCTCCAGGGGGTACAGAGACAGGTTTCTGTCGGAAGTGCCATGGTTAATGCTCAGACTCTGAAGTCCGATGGCATGTATCGAAATCCTAGCACTGCTGCTTTTTAGCTGTGCGACTTGGACATTTTACTTAACCTCTCTGGGCCTCAGTTTCCTCACCTATGAAATAGAGTTGATGTGAGAATTGGTGGTCTTCAGCCTCTTCTCTTAACAAGCTGGGCCACCCTCTACCTTGAAAGTCACCCAGTTTCTTGCAGTCTTTACTTATGCGATGTCTTCAACTTGGAATGCACATTCGTCTCCACTCCCATAGCTAACTCCTACCCATCTTTTATGACCCAGCTCAGCATCACTTCCCCAGAAAGCCTTCCATGCTGGCCACCCTCCAGCAGGGACAGAGGCTCTCTTGGGCCCCATGCGTTCCCTGTGCCTCACTTTTTCCCTGTGCTCACAGAGCCGGAAAATTGCTGAAACACCTCCATTTCAGATATAGCCCCTCCTCCAAATCAGTGTTTCTGAAATTGGGATTCAGCTCCCCATCCACATAACATCTTTTTTTTCCTCTTCCAGATCCTTGAGGTATATATAGGGTAAGGTCTCTAAAGTGTGTGTGTTAATCACTTAGTTGTGTCTGACTTCTTGCGACCCCATGGACTGTAGCCCATCAGGCTCCTCTGTCCATGGGATTTCCCAGGCAAGAATACTGGAGTGGCTTGCCATTCCCTTCTCCAGGGGATCTTCTCACCCAGGGATCGAACCTAAGTCTTCTTCATTGCAGATGGATTCTTTATGATCTGAGCTACCAGGGAAACCAGGTCTCTAAAGAGTGGAGAGTAAAGTGTGCAGGGCTTCCCTGGTGGCTCAGTGGTAAAGAACCTGTCTGCCAACGCAAGAGACGCAAGTCTTGATCCCTGGGTCAAGAAGATCCACTGGAGAACACAGAGGCGGACCCCAAGGGACGAAGCTGGGGTGGGGTCGGGTCCAAAGTGTGAGTCGGCCACTAACTCTCTGAGTGACCCTGGACAAGTCCTTTCCCCTGGCAGGGCTCAACATCCCCACCTGTGAAATGAGAGTGAGACAAACCTCCTGCAGCACCAACGTGCTACGACCCCATGAAGACCACGAGAGGGGTCTTCTCGTCCCCTCCTCCTTCTTTCACAGAGATCTCTCTCCTCTACTGGTAAATCTACCCATTAGATTCATCTATTTTCAGTAGGGAACATCTATTGCCAAGCTTCTAACCCTTGCCACCACCTATGTGGCGCCTTCTGCTGCTGTGGACACTTTGCAGATGAACTTCATAGCAAAGGCTCAGAGATGTTGAGTGACTTGCCAGAGGCCGCACAGTCAGGACAGTGTGGAGCCAGGATTTGAACCTTGGCTGTCTGCCAAAAAAAAATTTCTACAAACCAACCTGGGAGTCTGACCCCACCCATCCCAGCACTGGCTCCTCCCCTAGGAATCCCCCGCCGCCCCAGAAGGGTTCGGAGGGCCTGAAGAGGAGGCCCCTTCACAGCAGCAACCACATCCTGTGACGGTTGCCCTGGAGAGTGCCAGCTTTCTCTGCACCTCTGAGACAGGTGAACAGAAAACAGGCCTGCCCAGTCCCTCGGTGCAGGAGCCTGTGTGGCCTTCTGCTCCGTCCCTCGGCTCTGGGAGCGCGCAGAGAAAATCTGACCCCCAGCAGAGGGGGTCTCCCTGAAGGCAGAGCTGGGCATTGACCGGTGCAGCTGGGGTAACACCTCAGCCTCTGAGCAGCCTGGGATCCATGCCTTTTCCAGGCAGGTCTGAGATAAAATCTACTCGTCCTCCCCTGCCTCAGAAGCTCTCAGAAGCCAGATCAAAATGTCCCCCTGGCCCCACTGATCCAGGGCTGGTTGGCAGATCAGGGAGGAGGGTGGTATTGAACTCACAGGCATCTGTCCATCTCCTCCAGGAGAGCAGGCTCTGTGCCTGCTATACCCCTAGCACTTTTCACGGTGCCAGGCCACAGTACATTTCCAATTTGTCCTGACATTTCCACCTCAATGGACAGAGCTGCCCCCACCCAACACACACAACACACACACACCTACACACATACACACACAGCCTGAGTTCTGTGGGTTCAAGGACTTGGCACTGCACGCCCCAGTCTCATTCAGCAATGAGTTTAATCTTGGGATACTCAGAACAGGACACCAGAAGCTAGCTCTGAGCCCTCAAGCCTCTCCCTGGAGGCTGCCTGGACGCGTTTACAGCTCCAGGAGGAACACTGATGACAACATTCATCGGAAACGCTCCCATCAATCCAAGCAGACAGGTGGGGACCCAGGGCCTAGTGCAGCCTCCGGGCCCCTCCTGAAAGAAGTCTCTGTGCTTCTGCCCCCACAGGGGCTGGGCCCCACTCTGGGCCTCTGGGGATGGGGGTGGGGGTGGGGCCTGGATGGGACCATCTTTGTAAACTGTAGGACGCTCAGAGTAAGGATCCGCTGTCCAGGGATGGTCACTGCAGAACAGGGCTGTGTCCCTGATGGGCTCCAAGCATCTCCAGAGGCAGGGCTGGCCTCTAGCCCCAGCCCCAGTGGTTGGGGAGGGGCAGCCATCCTAATTGCTGTCAGTTGGCTGTGCTCAGGATGGCTGGACTCCTTGCTGATGCAAGTACCAAGCTGAGCTTAGCCTGTATCAGCTGCTGCCCGCCTCCCCAAGCCCCAGAACCCACCTGTCAGAGCAACACCAGCCCAACAGCTCCTGCACATGAGGCTCCCCTGCCCCCAGCAGGACCTCTGAACCCGAGTTGTCAGACAGTCAGGCAACCAAAACCCCAGACACACGAGAACTGGAAGGGGCCCCAGGAATCATCCAGTCCAGCCCTTCCACATGGCCTGCCAAGAAGTGGCCCAAACTCTGCTGCTTGCTCACCCCCGAAGCAGAGAGCTCACTACCCCTCAGAGGTGGTGCCTGTGCTGTGGGGCTGCTGTTTGGGTTGGAGGAGGGCTGTGCTGGGAGGTTCTGTTGATGGGTGGAGGCTGAGCCATAAGAGGTGTGGAGTTTCTTTTCCAGTCTCCAGGGGAGGACTATCAGCCCTGGGGCTGGGGGATGATTGGGGAGGATGGGGGTGGAGTGGGGCATGGAGCAGAGGGATTTGGCAGAGCAGGAGGCTGGTGAGAGGGAGCACACAAAGCTGAACCCGGGCTAGGCCGCTCCGATGTCGTCGTATTCTTCATCGGAGGAGGAGTCAGGCTGGGGAGCGTGGGACCCTGTGTGACAGGGGAGGCTCAGGTCAGCGAGAGGCCCAGTCTTGCTCCTGCTGAGCAGGGACAGAGCTGAGTGGATCTGGACCCACCTCCTTCTCCCCCATGATGCTATATGAAACCATCTTATCATCTTGTTCATGATTACTGCCCTCGATAGAATGTCAGTCCTGAAGGCAGAGTCTTGTCTTGTAGAGCAGGGCTGTGGTCCCCAAGTGCTGGGAGCTGCTCTGTGACCACCATCTCTCCCATGGAGCCATCTGGCTGCTTCTGCTTGAATGCTTCCACTAATGGGGAGCTCACTTCCTCTCAAGGTAGTCTCTTTGAATCTCTCTCCATCCCACCTTCATTCATTTTCTCTACCTCCTCAAATTCTTTTTTGTATAAAAAAAAAAACTCACTCTTTTTCTTCTTTTCCCCTTGAGCTGATATACGCAGAGCTCCCATTCATCCACCCTCCAGTCCCTCTCTGTGCCCCCTCCCAGGATCCCTCCTCACCCCTGCCACTGGCACCTGGACATCCAAACTGCTCAGCAGGAAGGGGCTGGGGCGGCAGCTGGTAGTTCTGGTACCACTCTCCAGAGGAGGTGCTGGAGCTGTCATCAGCTGGGGGCCCTGCTGGAAAACCCCAGAGCCAGTCACCCTCTGCCAGGCTAGTTCACAGAGTACCAGAGCTAGAAGGCCCTCAGGACTCGATACAGTCTTTAGCTTGACAACTGAGGAAACAAAGGCCCAGAGAGGGCGAGAAACTTGTCCACGGTCACACAGCAAGTGGCTGCTGAGCGGGGACTAGAATCCTGAACTCAGCCTGGCTCAGGGCTTCCAGCTTTACACTTCCTCCGGTCAGGTCTCATATAGGATAGGAGGCTGGAGGAGGTACACAGTCCTGGGTCTGCCTTACCTGGAATAGTTGCCTGGGAGCCAGCCAGCTCCAAGTTGGGGGGCTGCTCCAGGAGGGGGTTCCTCTCTGATGAAAACACTTGAGAGTTCCATAGAGGTCGCTTGCTGTTGGGGCTATTACAGTACACCTCCCCCGAAGATGTGCTGGAGCTGCTTTTGCTCCTTGGAGGATGTGGAGGAGGGCCCAGGGAGGGAGGGTTTGCAATGCAGTGTTCAGGGTTGGCAGGTAGGACCTCGGAATCATGCACTTCTTCCAGTCCTGGGCCTGAAAGAGAGAGTGGTGATCAAGAAGATGCAGTGCAGCAAGAGGGCTTTAAGTTAGACCTGAAAAAGAACTTACTGCCAATGGGAATTGGTTAAAGTCAGGAAGGACCTGTTGAGGGAGATTGCACTGATGCTTCTCGAGGTGAGTGAGCTGATAAGTCCGGAGGCAGTGCTGGCATCCTAGTCACTTCCCTCCCTCCACGTCTCTCCCCAGGCTAACTCACCTTCCTCCAGGGGGGGCATCTGGAACCTGTTCTGCTGGGCCTCCTCCTCTGTGAAGCGGTGCCGCTGGGAATCTATAAGCAGAGGTGGCAGTGAGGAAGGAGGTGGGGAAGCCTCCACCTCCTTGTCCAGAGGAGCCCAGAGCAGAGATTGGTGTTTTGTGGGATTTAGGAGGCTGAACAGGGCAGGAGGACCACCCTGACTTATGGAGGGGCTTAGTCTCATTCATCAGATCCCAGGCTCACATCCTAATCCAGGAAGACCTTGAACCTCAATCTTAAACCAGCCCGGGGACAGGCTGCTTCTGGCCAGAAAGTGGAGCTTTCCCAGAGTGGAAGCTGAAGGTCTGGAATCTTTGCATCCTGGGCTATGGTACCTCCATTTCAGAATCAGAGAGATGCAGATTCATAGCATCTTAAGGACTTGAGTGTCGGGAATCTGGGAGTCAGCTCTTTTAAATGTGTTACTACTGACTTTTAGTCTTGGTGTCATATTAATAGCACTTTGGACTGCCAGTCTTGCATCTTACAAGACTGGGCTCAGAATCTCAGATTCTAAGGACACTCATCTCTGTGGTTCCCCAAGGCTGCTCCATGGCCCCACAGACTGGAATCATCCACATTGCCCCTCCAGAGGCCCCGGTTCAGCCAGGGGTCGGGGGGAGGCAAAGATGGCTGCTGTCCCCAGTGTCCATCCTGCCCACCACGTAGTAAGAGATCTCTGGCCTTCATCTGGACACTCAGCTGCCCAGGACAAGAGCTTTGTCTCCCTGCCTCTCTTGTAGCTGCTAGGTTAAAGTTTTGGCAGGTGGAAAGTGAGTGGGAGCTGTGTGGGTGTCCCTGGCATGCTGCCTTACAGGCGGGCACGCCTTACCTCCCCCATTCCCTTGGTCTAGAATGCAGACATGGCAGTGAGCCACTCTGGACCGTGAGGACAGGGCAACGTCTTAGGGACTGCAGAGCAGCCAGAAAGGAGCCTGGGCCCCTCCAGCTTCTCCGGATGATGTCATTTGGAGGCTGTGTCCCACACAACCAAACTCTCATCCTAACTTATAAAGTAGGTCCCAGGTGGGGCTCAGGAAGTTTTGATGCGCTCCCAAGGGATTCACGATAGCTGTGAGAGTCTCTGCTTTCCTCCGACCTCCTTGCATCACGTGTGCCCTGTCTGAGCACTGTCTTTCCTCCTCCTACACCCCCAGCAGGCAGAGAGCGGAGCTGGAGAAGCCAGCTAAGGGGTGCGAGCTGGGCTCATGGTGGAGGTGGGAGAGGAGGTGAAATTGATGGAGCAGAATGGGACACAGAAGGGGTGTGAGCGAGCAAGAAGCCATCTGAACCAGAGTCCCTCATATCGTACAGAGATGCAGCCACATTTAGGTGAATGTTGACAGACTGACTTTAAGACCCTGCATGGTCACAAACACCAGAGAAAAGGTGGTCCAAGGGGAAATGCCTTGAGATGTCTCCAGGGTCACAACACACTTGGAAAACCTCAATGCAGGACCACGGAGAGTCAGTCCAGTGATCACAACAAGGGAGGTGCCACCCTTGACATGCAGGAGTCACTGGGGGGGAACCTACTGCGGTTCCCCAGCCAGCTGGGCCCTCTCCCTGGAGCGGGCAGGCGGGCCCTCAGGAGTCGGGCCCAGGCACTCACTGTAGAAGGTGGTCAGGGCCACAGGAGGCTGGGTTCTGAAGTCATAGTGCTCATAGTCTGAGTCCGAGCTGGAATTCGAGTCTTCGGGGGGCGGGGCCTGGACCTGGATGGGCAGCTTGGGAACTGGGGAGAGAACAGAGTGGGGGCATGGCAAGGCAGGGGACAGAAAGGAGCAGAGAGAGGCGGCAGACAGCATGGCTTTTGGGGACCGGAGACGGAGGGGCGGGGAGCATTCCAGGCAGCCCACCTTGTGCAAGACTGTCAGGCCCGGGTTGTCTAAGCTCCCCCCATCTATTTCAAACACAGGGAACTAAATAACAATTTTTTTTTTTAATTTAACAAGCACATAGTAGTCACTACATGCCAGGCCCTATTCCAACATGTACAAATATTGAGATGTCCAAAAAGTTCGTCCGGGTTCTTCCATAAGATCTTACAGAGGGCTTCCCTGGTAGCTCAGTGGTAAAGAATTCGCCCGCCAATGCAGGAGATCGTATGGAAAAAAACCCTAATGAACTTTTTGGTCAACCCAATATTATCTCATTTAGTGCTCATAATAACTCTGTGAGGCAGCTACGTTAGGATCCCCATTTTACAGCTGGGGAAACTGAGGCACAAAGAGAGTCTCACATAGCCCAGAGAAGAGGCAGTGTGGCTCTTAACCTCTAGACCATGATATTCAGTGAGTGGCTGCTCTGGGCTTACCCTTGTGCTAGGTTCTGTGTTCATATTCTCTTCTCAAATATATGGATCCTGTGTGCAAAGAATCTTTATAATATTTGTCTGAGTTTTGTATTGATTTTGTGTCATTGAACTCTTTATTTGAAATAAAGGTGATTTAATACATTCATAAAGCCATGAGATTAAACTCGAACTCCTTCACAAGACTTTCAAGAGATATACATCAGTATATCATTAAAGATGGATGACTGATTCCTTTTTTTATTTGGAAAATATGAAATACAGTTATGTTCCAGGAAAACTTTGATGGGGCTTTACAGACAGGCTGATTCTGGGCAGACTATTAGAAGAGGTGATGATGTCACAAACCTACTGGCCAATTAGCAGAACACAGCTCTCCTTGAGAACTAAGATCCAAAATGCCTTGGGCCTGATTTGGTCCAGAATTCAAAAGCCTAGAGCTCTAGGATGAGTGCACTGGAAGGTCCTCTGCCCATTGAGGCCCAGACTGAGACTGGACTTGCTCAAGGTCCCTTGAGCATGCATGGGCTGGTCCAGCATTCTTCTCCAGCTGGGGCACTGCTTTGACCTAAGCAGTACTGACCCTCCAGAAAGTATTCCCTTTTTGTCCTCCCCTGCCCTCCCCACCCCCAGGGCAGGCGACATCCTACCTTCTTTGGTGATGGTGATGGGGACCTCTTGATAGTTTTCCATCCCTGCCGGGGTGGTGGTGGGTGAGTGCTGGTGGTTTACCACAGCGGGGAGGGCTGAGAGAGAAGAGGCAGAGATTCTGCAAGTCACTTTTTGTGCCTTTCCAGTCTTCCTGGTTCTGTTCTGATAGAGACACTTCCCTCCCCACCTTCCCTGCCCCCATATGCCCCTAAACACACACACACACAATGAGGTCCTCCCGTGGACCACTTCTGAGGGGCATGCTGGGAAAATCCTTCCCATCAGGAGGTGCTTCTTGGGACCAGGGATGGGTGGCCATTGCTGGATCACTTTCAGTCTTGCTGGCGACCCCCACGGCTCACGTCCCCCTGGGAAGACTGCGCCTCAGGTCTGCTTGTTTTCATCCCTGGGTCTTTCCTGTGGCTCCCAGGACTCTGCACCTACCGTATTTTCCTTTAATTCTCAAGAGGATGATGGCTATGAATACAAGTGAGACCAGAAGGAGAACTCCCAGAATGATGCAGGGGATGAGGAGCATTAGTTCTCGAGGTTCCCAGTCCTTTGTTTTCACCATCACAGACGATTCTGGAAGAAAGAACCCCAAATCAGGGAGAAAGAGGAATGGACATGGACTTCTCCTTGTCTATCTCACCTCTCCTTCCTCTCTGCACCTGACCCACTTCCCTTTCGGACCTCTCCTCTTCCCCCCTTCTTTTTTTTTTCCCAATTTTCCCATCTGCTTTTATGTGCCTGGTATATAGTGTGTGTTCAGTCATGTCTGACTCTTTGTGACCCCCTGGACTATAGTCCACCAGGCTCCTTGGTCCATGGGATTTTTTAGGCAAGAATACTGGAGTGGGTTGCTATCTCCTCCTCCAGGGGATCTTCCCAAGTGAAGTTGCTCAGTTGTGGCCAACTCATTGTGACCCCATGGACTGTAGCCCGCCAGACTCCTCCGTCCATGGGTTTCTCCAGGCAAGAATACTGGAGTGGGTTACCATTTCCTTCTCCAGGGGATCTTCCCAACCCAGGGATCGAACCCGAGTCTCCTGAACTGCAGGCAGACTCTACCATCTGAGCCACCAGGGGCCCCCAGGATCTTCCTACCCCAGAGATCAAACCTGCATCTCCTGCATCTCCAACATTGGCAGGCAGATTCTTTATCACTGCACCACCTGGGAAGCCCGTCTAGTATATAGTAGGTGCCTGAGAAATGCATACTGAATGAGTCATTGAATGAAACTTTCTCCTGGCCACCAGCCCACATGGATCTGTCTCTGCTCAATAATCACTGAGCACCCACAACGTGCCAGGCACTAGACCTGGGGAGACAAATAGGACAGCAGTGTCACAGGCCTTGAGGGTCTCTGTCTCTGTCTAATGGGAAGATGGATGGACAAGCTGACTCAGTCCAATTCAGTGAGATGCCTGGTGTGATGAAGGTACGGACAGGCGTGCATCCCTCCAAGGGACACTGATTCTCTGTGGGTTAGACCAGGGCTGGATTCCCAGAGAAGGTGGCTCTGAGCCTCTGCAGGCTGGGAACAGATCATCAGGAGAGAGGGAGATCTCCTTCCCTTGGCCCAGATGCAACCCCCCTACTGGAGCTGCACTCCCTGAGGGCAGGGGTGAGGGTCAAACCCCAGACCTTCCGGCCCTGAAGCCCTGGTGTGACTGCTGGCCTTCCCCTCCCTCCCGACCCCACCCCTGCTGAAAATAACGCAGAGCAGAGAATGGATGGAGGCCACAGTGAAACCCTCACCCTCATCACCCATGCTCCTGCTCAGTGCAGAAGGCCTGGGGTATGCAGACTTCAGGGCTGGAGGAAGGGAGGTGACAGTAACATGGGAGGCTGGGGGGATGAGCTCACCCAGGCCCCCTGACTCGCAGCAGTGTCTGCTCCCCCTAGGAGGATCACCCCTCTTCCCATCCTCACTTTTTGCCCTCTTCTTGAAAATGGAGCAGTTTGGGCCAGGGTGGGAACTGGATTTATCAGCAGAAAGAAGGTGCAAGGGAAAGACTAGGCTGGGGGTCTGGGGGAGACCTGTGAACATGAGCCAAGAGGGTCAGAGGCTGAAGGAGGGGCTGCTGGATCACGGGCTGGAGTGTGATCCTTGGAGAATAGGTCTCCATAAGTGCTTTGCTCCTCTGAGGGCAGCATGGTCCCCTACCCCAGCCTCAGGAATTAAAAGTGTGAGAGGGTATGTTTAGGGGTCCTGACAGGAGTTCACCCTAAAGCTTTTCATTTCCACTCTGTGCCCTCATCCATCGCTAGGTTCTCTGGCAGGACTTGGTGGCCTTCTGTCCCCTCCCCACGCTACCCACTGCCTCTGGAGAGGATCTGAAAGAGGGAGCCAGGAGCAGAGGGAGGGGTAAGCCTATGAATGAGGACTGACCCCTGTGCTTATCCTGGGGCTTCCAAGGGGCTCCACGCCTGGACTGAATCAATAAACAAGAATAACTGATGCCCAGGCAATGCTTACTGTGTCCTGAGCCCTGTTGTGACGTGTGCTCTTCACCGGAGACTCACAGCAACAATGCTAGGTGAGAAGTACTGTGATTCTCATCCTCATTTTGTAGTCTAGGATCTGAGGCTCAGAGAGGTTAAGAATTGCCCAGCATCACACAACTAGCAAGAGGTACAGCTGAGGGTTGGACCCCAGAAGTTGATTCCCGAGATGGCTAAGCTACACACAGCTGGAGGACAGACCAAGTGTATTCGGAGTTCAGAGCCTCAGATGCAGGTTCCAGGCAACAGTGGCAGGCTGCCAACCCACCCTCTGAGCCTGAGCTGCTTCTTCTGTGTAAGGGTC